ACACAGATTCTCATTGCCTTCTTGTTGTCCAGCTATGAGGAAAATCAGCCCAAAGTGCATTCAGCTTTGCCTGAGATTTCTAAAAATCTGCAGTGTAGCTGCTCTTTGTCCTGAAAAAAAAAGTTAACTTCTTAAAATAAAGACATTTCCCCCCTATTTTTCAGCTGATAAAACATTTATGTTTCATAAATTTAACTACTTTTTAAGTTTGGGTCTGGTGGATCTTTTATCTCCAACTCTTCGCAGAATTTTTTTTTCTAGCCTTGAAAAAATCAGTCTCTTTCCAAGATCCCACCCAATGCTGCTAGTGAAAGCCATGTCCTCTTAAAAGACAAGGCTGACAGTAACTCGGTTTACCACTGTGAGTGATGTACTCTGCCTGCTCTGAGCTGTGAGGAAGGGTCCTGGGATCTCAGAACCCCAAAGGAAAGGAGCTGTTGGCAGCCGTGTCTGCACCTTTATCTATACATGTATATTTGGATATATGTGTATAAATATATTCCTATGCTTTGTACCAATTAGATGGGCACACAAAACTAAGCATCCCAGATGAGCCATTTAACATGCAGCCAAAAATACTGAGAATGCAAAGATTAGATCAAGAATTAAATTGTGAGATCAGGGACTGGACTGAATTATTTGACAGCTGTACGAAATGCTGCCATCTCCAGAAAACAGACTGATATTACACTAGAAGGAAAAATAAAAAGCTCTTTAAACCAGAGAACAAAATTAAACCTGGGGTTGCTGTAATCTGTAACAGATTGACTTTGCTCGTCCCCGGAGGGCGCAGATAGCAATGTTAATACCTCCTGTGGTCTCCTACTAGCAAGGAGTGACCCTGCATCAGCTGTTCCTCATGGGAGTAGACACAATGAGGAGCATGTGCATTCCTTGCTTTCCCACTGGATGGGATGCTGTGATGGGGTTGCAACACTCAGTGCGTGGTGTGGTGGAGAAGGGATGAGAGGCCTTTGCCTCCCATTTATCCCATGAAATAAAATAGATCTGAAGCGTGGATGAGCACCTGGGCTGAGCTGGGCTGAGCTGCATAAACATGTGAGACAAGAATCAGCTGCAGGGATTGTTTGGTGTTAAACCTTTCTCTTGGCAAGGGCCAACCTAATTCAATGGGCATGCAGTGGGGTTAGGTCACTGAATGTGTGTTGTGGAGCCTTCTCCACATGGAGCCATTTGCTGGGGTGACTGCTCTAAACAAGGGTAAAGCCACGGCTGTCCTGCAGCATTAATTATTCCAATATTCATCCTCCTGGAAGCCCCGTGAAGAAGAATTTTTGCTTTTCAGTAAATGATGTTAAATTGTGTATTTGTATGTATGCAAGTGCTTTCAAATGCGAAGAAAACAAAATCTGAAAATCTCTGCAGAAAAGTGCTCTGGAGGGCTTCCAGCTGGTTTGAGGATTTTAAGAGCCTGTTATAGGATGTACCTTCAAAAGATCAGTTTAAATGCTGCTTGCTTTATACTCATTGTTTATAAAGTTGAAAGCATCTCTGATAGTGACTATTCATTCTCACAGCAGTTGCAGGCAGAACAGAAGCAGGTTGGTTTAACTCTATCCCTGCCACGTCCTGGAGAAGCAGAGGGAGCAGGTGGCTCTGCAGAGCTGAGCTCAGCACAGGCACCGAGGAACTGATAGGGCAAGAAATTGAGTTCTTGCAGTAATCGAGTCCTTCAGCACCTGGCAAGACTGAGCTGACTAGGGAACCATGTTACTTTGTGTGCAGGATGCACACCTGCGTGTGTCTGGCTGTGTGTTGTACATCACATTGTACAGTTCTGTCTGCTGTAGGAGCAGTGCTTTGTCCTCCCGCAGAGGGGTTTCACATTCCCTCTGCTGCAACGGAGAAGGCCCCTGGAAGATGATCTAGAAGTAGGGAAAGGCTGATATATGGACGTCCACAAGACAACTAGTGCCGACTATCCTGGGGCAGTGTCCATCGCTGAGTGCAGGAAAAGTCTTTATGGTCCTCTTTGAGCTCTGTGGTTGTAAAAGATGGCCCTCAAGCCATGCCAAGAGACCAGACCTGTTCTGTTGTGAGTCTGGAACCGTGACCAGAAGTTTGACTTGAGTGTTTTCTACCCAAGGGTGCTTTCACAGAGGGTCAGCAGTTGTCTGTCATCTGTCTGCAAGGTAGGGCAAAGGAGAGGAGCTCTTCCCAAGCCTCCTTAGAGCTCTGTGGGTTCCACCACCAAAGAACAGCATTCCTGTTCATTTGTTTAGCATCCCTGAGCTAGGACCATCACAGGGGACAAGGACATGATAAAGTCATGCCATCCCAGCTGCCACATCTTGAGAAATAACCACTTAATCCACTCTTGCCTGCTTCGGGTTCTGTCAGACTTCAGAGCCTGGCAGTAGTAGACAGGAGCCATCAGATAAACTTTCCCAGGACAAGAGGAAGTGTAGGTCGGAGCCTGTCTGCAAACATTTCCTCTGTGCCCCTCTAGCACTCTGATGATTTTCAGTGGTTTCAAGCATGGGTTTTGCTGCTTCTCATTTGTAATGTGTTCTACGGCTCTGTAGATCTCAGGTTCAGGAAGATGTCTCCAGTAATTTGTTGCATCTTGCACTGCTTGGTTAGATCTTGCTACTCAGAATGATGTACTTAAGGCTGATCTCAAGCTATTTTTCTCCATTGGCTATTTTTCTCCATTGGCTGTTCCAGACAACTGTAAGAAGCAAGGGGAACTTCCAAGTCTCAGATAAGAAAACTTAGAGTGTTGTTGGCTTTCTGTTCAATTTCTGTAGCATTTCTGTAGCACTCTGTAGCACCTGGCAGACCATGAACTTCAGTATTAATCATGCCTAAATTTGTAGTCTCCAACTTCATAGCATTAGACAGCTGAGCAAGAGTTCATATAATGATCTTTAGATGCCAGTTAATCTGAGTGGTTGCCCACATTTTCTTTCCTCAGATGGCAGAAGGGTGCTGCCAAAGTCCCCAGTTTCAAGTTAGAGCCCCTGGTTCAATTAAACAGGTGCATCAGATGGTTGCTCAAATACATAAGCAAGCAGAGCAAGACTGCCTGTTCTGCTGAATAAACATGGACTTCAAGTTATGCTTAAAAATGTGTGATGAGGTGGTGTCAAACTCAGTGGGCTTTCCAGGGAAACGCAGGGGTTTTCTTCTTCCCAGTCCGATGAAGCTGAACCTGACCCATTTGAAGACCCGTGAGGTTTCTTCTGTCCCAGCGTGATACATGTGGCTGCTGATCTGTTGTTGACTAAACCTCACCACCTCCCTGTGTACCTTCACAACGAGCATCTGTTGAAGTGTTTTTCTGAACAGCCTCCTGAGCTCATATTGCTTCCAAGATTTATGCATTCCTATACTAAATTGCCCATCTCCACTTGGCCTTGTTGCTTAAACTGAATTATGTACACAGATCTCCACAGATGCAAGACCTTCAAACTGAAAACCTGCACCCATTTGGTTTATTGGCAAAATTTGTATTCTTTCCCTGGGAGGCCAGATCTGGCCCTGTGCTGGTTGGATGACAGGTGGGGTTTCCATCCAGACGTCCATTTAAATAAGAGTACTGTAATTAAAAGGATCTGGCTAAAGAAATTGCACAAATTAGAGCAGACAGCTGTTATTTGAAAAGAACACACACTGTTGGTTTTTTTTTTTTTTTTTTAAATAGCCAGCTCTTGGCTTGCTGCCAGACATGCTTACATTAGATCCTACGGATAAATATCTTGCTTCAACTGTTAAAAATATAAGTGAAAAGAACTATATTTACACACACACACACACACACACAAAAAAAATGTGATGGGGAATAGTCAACGGAAGGAACATATTCATAAAGTTTAGCATAGCCTGGAGATGACTAACTTCAGATGCATACAGAACAGAGAGAGGTTTCTGTGAAAAAGAAATACTGCATCCATTTTATTTTATTCATACATTTATGCACAAAAGCTGAGATTCCTGAAACAGAATTTTAAACTGGGAGCATAACTCACGGCACGGATACTCTTCTTCCAGAAAAAAAAAGTGCTCCTTCTTCTTTGTAGGTACAATTCAGTGTGGAAGGGATTGGTCTGAATCAGCCTCCAGCTTCTGCAGGGCCTGGTGGTGAAGTTAGGGCTGACGAAGCAGCGAGGGGATCAGTGTGACACACATCAGGGGTTGGAAAGGAAACCTTGGTAATCAGTTCTGCTCTTTATTCAATACAGAGATTTCTCCCCATCAGTTCTATGTACCAGGAGGAGAGTTTTCCACTGCCTTGGTCAAATGGCTGGTGGTCACACACGCTTGGGGATAAGGACTGGATCTTTCTCCAGGCTCCTCTGACATGCAAGCACTCAATGGGCATCCAGAAATAGGATTAATTCATGAATCTTCCCACTAGCAAGTTACATCTTGCCTTGTTTAATAGAGCAGCTTTCAGGCTTAAAATCAAGTGCATGCTTAAAACAGGTTGCAACGTCTGGCCGGTGTCTCTGATCTGATAACTTGGAAGTTCAGACCCATGTGCCTCCACAAAAGATGTTCAGGAACGCAGGTAACACCAGCGTGAGATCAGTCCGCTGGATGGATGATGCGCTGGGGTGGGAACCAGAGGATATCTGGGATTTACTTCTGCCTCTTCCACTAGTCCCCCAGGAGGCTCATCCATCTCTCCTTCTGTTATACAGGTACTGTAGAGTTACTCATCCCTTTCTAGTGAGCCTTGAGGTCTGCTGGTAAAAATCAATGGCACCAGCTGGTTATTAAGTGGAATTGCAATGTTTGCTAATGCTCTTTATACAAATCAGAGCAGAGAATGTGAGTATGGGCTTAGAGAACAAAGAGGAGAAATGAGGAATCTGAAAAAGAAACTGCTTTCTTTCCAAAACCCTCGCTGTAATCTTTTCCTTCCTCTTTTTGAGTGATTTCTGGGTGGTTTTTTTTTTCTTTTGTTTTGTTTTGTTTTTTACTTTTCTCTTGCCCTTCCTCACCCCTTCCTGTGATCTTGTCTCATTCTCTAGGAAAACCTCTTTTTTGTGATGGAATACCTCAATGGAGGAGACCTCATGTTCCATATCCAGAGCTGTCATAAGTTCGACCTTCCCAGAGCAACGTAAGATGTTATTATTACCTTTTGGCTTGCAGGTTGTACACATGGTAGAAGCAAATGCAGCAGCTGCAGACACCAGGGAGATTGATTTTATTCTCAGCTCTGCTACTGTCCTGTAGAGGAAATCTTGGGCAAATCGTTTAACCTCTCTGCACCCTACCCAACTGCAAAGTGGGCATAATGCTTGTGTTGGAAGCAGAATCACTCTCTATCCCAGCTCTCTCCAAACTGAACAAAACAGACGTGCAGGTCATCACCCCGCCTCAATGATGGGCTTGGAGGAAGTCACCTCTCCCTGTCCTCTTTCCCCTCCCACAGAAGGCTTTTTAGAGCCTGTCCACACAGCTGATTTCACTCAGATGTGACCTTGTTCTGCATTCTTGGTCAATGAGGAAAGCTATTTCTCTCTGGAAGCATTACAGATGCTACTGCATCCTTGTCCCCATTGCATCTGCCTGCAGGCTTATCCTTTAGCCTGCAAACCAGGGACCTCCTTCTAGCCTGTGACCTGACTCCTGTATTTTGTGCTCCCCTCACCATAGTCCCACAGACGTTTGTTCAGAGCCAAGAGCTGAGCTGGATAGATTAGTCCCCTTCCCAGGACTGCAGGCCCTCAAACAGGGAGGGGCTGCAGAGGGACCATTCAATCCAGCTGAGACCTTACCTCTGGAAGCGCCTCCACTGTCTAGAAGCACCCCTGAGCAATGCCTGAGATCTTATTTACATGGTCCATGGGTGAAGGTAATTTTAAAGCAACCTGCAGGTGTCTGATGTGAATTACAGCAGCCCTGGGGTTGCTCTTTGCTGCACTCATTGAGTTCTTGTTCAGCCCGTAACTGGAGGCCCAACCTCCACCCCAGATTTACCACCATCAAAGAAATCCCACAGATGCATTTTCAGCCTTCTGTGGAACCAAATATATTGTTCTTTACAACACTGGGTGGCCTGTAACCAAGCTGCAGGACCTGCTTAAGATGAAGGTTCCTGGTCCAGTGATCAGAGGTGGAGCTGTTGTTTGTCAGAAATAATGGGATTTTCCCTTTTCCCCTTTCAGGTTCAAGGAGGGGTGGGGAAAGAGATAAAACCTATCAAAAGTGCAGAATGTAAATTTAAACAGAAAATTAATACGCCAACAGAGAATTAAAAATTTATTTCATTTTGATGAAAGTAAATAGAAGAATTAGAATAAATGAAAGGTGCTTTTAATCCTCTGCAAGCAAAAGGTATTTTGAAAATCAATATTGAAACGACCATAGGAATTAATTTTTATTTAAGAAATATTTTTTTTAAATGCATTTAAATCATTGTTTAATTTGATGATTTTTTCAAAAGCTTTTCAATCTTCCGAATTAAGGTCCCGTGCATTGAAGACTGAAGGAACAGAGCTGTATAGCACCGGAGGGGCATAAAATCCTGCGATTACATTCCCACCTGGGAGTGTTTTCCTTGCGCAACGTTGCTTCAATCTTATGCTGCCTCTTTGCAGCAGGATGTGGTGTTGTCCTTTAGACAGGAACGTGTGTTCAGAACAAAGATCTCAAAGTTGAAAAGATGCTGGAGAAAGGCCACCAAGCTACTAGATAGTTCATATCTTGGATAAAAATCTCAAAAAACAAGTCATAAACCTGAGCAGTGAAGAGGTGTGTTTGACAAGCCAAGGAGCCTGCCTGTGGTCCCCAAGCCCAGATGCCCACCCACTTGTCCCATTGCTGGGACCACTCCACTCTGTGCAGCAGCTACTGAACACGGCAGGTTATAGCTGCTCTGTTGAGCTTTGAGGCATTAACTATAATTTGCAGTTTGCATTCTGGTGCATCTCTGTCACTCAGTGATTTACTTTAAATATGTAAATAAGGGAGAGGCACAGACACCAACCGGTCTGCCTTCCTTGCAGCAGGGACCGTATCTCGAGGCGGGGCAGGGTAGGCAGTAGGAGCTGGGTGGTGGTTTTTTGCTCCGTAGCTGATCTGGAGACATCCTTGGGTGCTTGAAGGACATGTCCTCAAAGTCAGTTTTGTATTAAAAAAATACATCTAGCCATGCAGTGTGGTTTCCAAATCCCTGAAGATGATCAGGCTTCAGATCCCTCCCATTTTGCAAAGTGGTTTCGGTGGGAGTTGGGCTGCTAGCCATGTGGCATGCTTTTGGGAATCTCACATCATCCAGTCAGTTACCTGTAAAACCCAGCTACCCCAAGCCTTCTAGAGACACTCCAAGCCTTCTGGGAACTTAATGAAATTTTTGGCTCCTGTGGAGACAAAGTTTCCATCTTTTTGAGTCTAGTTGAAAGTGCCTGTTGGGAAGCATCGGTTCTAACTTGTGCCTTCTGTCACTCAGGTTTTATGCTGCTGAAATCATATGCGGGCTCCAGTTCCTCCATTCCAAGGGCATAATATACAGGTAATTTTACTCTTTAGTGTCTTAATATGTTAAAATTTTTCTGCTTTCCCTGCAAGCACTAATGGTAACTGAGAGATTGTTGCTTGGTATTATACTAGTATTGCATTTCAGTGCAGATTTCCTTTTTACAGAGTCTGCCTAGTTTATTTTGAAAAGTGTAGAAAAGGCAGTTTTGAGCCCGTTTTGAGAATCCAGTTGTATTTCACTTAACGTTGGAGCGAGTTGTTTTATTCATTTACACTGAATTGTTCATATAGCACCCAGCACAGGCACCCAGTTTAAGCTTTCTGTGTATGAAGGTATATAAGGTCATGTTAGTCAAGATAAATTTGGTATTTCTGCTGTGCTGGTTACCCTAGGACAGTGGTGACAAGCTCAGCTCAAGTAACAGCATTAGGGAGACACTGATATACCTTAATTTGGGGGTTACCAACAGGTCTGCGCTGCGCATTTCCATGCGGAGATGGGATTCATCTCACCTACCATCACGGGTCTGAGCTAGCCACCCGAGCTCTTCCTGTAGTAAGCAAGAGAGGAGTGGGCTTTTTTAGGTTCATCAAACCTGTGTTAGAGTGTGTATGAGAAGTGCCCGTTTCTACCATCGGAAGAATGGTAGAATGGAAGAAGTCTCTACAGGGAGCCAGTGGGGACTAGGGGGGACACTGCAGGCAGCTGCACTCAGACAGAAGAGTCCTCTCCCAAAGTTACCAGAATGGCCTTAGTCCACAATGCATCAGTCTAACAAATCCTGAGCAGAAGAAATCCTCTATTACAAAACTGCCCGTTCCAGCTTCTGTTTGACGTCCCTAGGAGTTTCAAAGTTACGCACGGATGTTTTGATCTAATGCTCAAGCGTTGTGCCTCAGACCTATAAAAAAAAGGACGGAGACAAGATGGGAGCATGAAGGGCTGCAGAAATCAGGCCACAGTCTGCTTTCCCATGGACAAAAGTAGGAACTGAATTTCTGGGGAGCTCTAGTCCAGCTCATCTGCGTGGCAAAAGTTAGTTACTACATTGCAGCCTTCTCTAAAAGCAGGAAGCAAATAGCTTGTTGCAAACAAATGAGAAAGCTCACTAAAGCAACGATGTTTGCTGAAACCAAAATGAGATTATTTCAATGTTTGTCATGTAGCGTGAACATTAGAACAAACGCTAAAAGTGAATAGCTTGTTTATAATCCACTCTCCCATTAAAACGCAAGCTTTGATTCATATAAGCTCGCCTTATTATTTCTTATGAGTACTCATGTGGGAGCCATTTGTAGTTTTTATTGACCAGTGATGGTGATTGCGTAAACATGAGATCAATATACACGGCATTAAGCTAAGATGATCTCTGGGGTCTCAGAAAGTTTCTGATTCTAATTGTTGTTCTGCATGACTGAAGAGAAACGTTTTCTGAAGGGCCCAAATCACTTGGCCATGTCTGTCATTTTGACTCGGATTTCTCAGAAAAGTTGATTAAAAATATCCGCAGGATACTGTGAGTTTGTGGCAGGACTGTTAATGCTGACGTTTTGTTTCTAATTCACATTTTCATTTGGAATTGCTATGCCGGTGGTGTGTCAGGGTTTGGGATCCATTTCCTCATAAAAGGAGAGAGATGCTTAGAGTCTGGAGCCTTGGGAAATGTGGGCAAACTGGGACAGCTAGACACTGGGTAGCATGGTGATAAGAAGAAATAGGTCATTCCCAGTAGTCAGTGCCGCATTACTTTGGATATCAAGCTTTGAGAGAAAAGTTTTAACCAGTCCTACTCTTTTTTTTTTTTTTTTTTTTTTTTTTTTTTTTTTTTATCGAAGACAATGACAAGGTCAGTTGAGAATGCACAGCCATCAGTATCTCAGTCAGAGCTAGCTAAGCACTTAGGAAAGTGAATAGAAATCATTTTTGAAACTACTTCACTTGTGATGTAGCAAGAATAATGAATCCAGCTGTTCTGTCTCACGCACCCACATTTGGAAACGTTGGCTTAAATTTTAATGAATGAGCCGAGGTGTTTCTGGCAGAAACTCCAATCCCTGGAGCCAGTGAGTTTGAGACTCATCAAAATAATGAAAGTGAACTGTAGGTGATGGGTTTTTTGTTTTGCTTCGATCCACCAGATGAATAAAAGCAGTGCTGGCAGCCAGAGACTGATCTCAATGGTGTAACTAAAATAAGTCATTCCAGCTGGAAATTGTGACAACATGAGTGTCTGTCACTTGGAAGGCAAATGTCTTGGTTGTCTCTATATTTCTTTTTGATTGATGACTCCTGTTTTTTTTCTTGGGGCATATGCTAGCAGCAACAATTGCCCCATGGCAATAATTTAGTGTGTAGATGCTACGAGGTCCCCCACCCTGACTGGGACCTGGCCGAAGCAAGATGAAGAGCTTTGCACAAGGGAGGCTAAATGGCCATCTTTCCTGCAATTGTAGATGATGATCTCAGGACCATCATGCATTAGAAATTACCATCTTTGAGGAAGTCCAAGCCATTTCTGAAAAAAACCCCACACATTATAAAACAGATGTGACCAGGAGGGGAGCTATATAGCAGCCTTGTGGTTAGGACTCTTGCCTGAGATATGAAAAATGTGTGTAGGCTGTGAATCAGCAGAGGTTGCAAAAGACCAGTTGTGTGCTCAGCTGTGGGCACAAGTAAATGCTGTGTGTGGGTGCTTTGGGAGCCCTAAAAAGGAGCAGTGATTGATAGCAGAGGATAGGCAGTGCAGAAACGTGGGTGCTCTGAGGCCAGGTAACCCAAATTGTAACCTATATCCCAGGTGAAGTGCAGCATCACTGATCCAGACATTTCTCTGAATCATTTTTTTTCAATGAAAAGCAAAACTTTTAGGTAAGATAAAAATATTTAAGATAGAAGCCATGCCAGCTTTTCTTTCTTTCTGCCTTTTTCTTTCTTTACATGCTTTTCTCTCCTTTCAGAGGATGTTCCCACGTGAGGACCTCTTTGTTCTCTGTCAATAGCCATGATTCATCAGCTCACTTGCTTTAATTTCATTCTCCATGCATTTCTGTATTTTTCTCTCTCTGGACTCTTTGCTTCCCACAGTACCCCAAAGCCTGAAACCTCTAACAACAGCTTGACAGTTATGTGTGAAGGGCTTTGTAAATCCTTGGGGCTCAGAGAGTGCAGCCCAGCAGTGAAAAGGTGGTGGGTGTTCTGCTGATGTCTGGGATTATTCTGATCCTCTGCAAGCCTTGCAGGACTTGTGGATCCTTACCTCTTTCAATATTTTTAGAGCCTGCACCAGGAGGGAGATCTGGCAGCAGCTTCAGAGAGAGTACTGAGACTCCCAGGGAAGGACAAAGTGAGCTGGTCCCTTCTTGCTCACCTTCTCCAGGCTGTGTTAGGGCAGAAGCACCAGCTGGTGCAAAGCCCCTTTTGGCGTCACTATTCTGATCCTCGAAGGAGGTAGCGTTTAGAAGACATCTTGGGCAAAGTCTTCTCCAGCAAATGAATCAGTGCTGGGATGGGAGGAATGATTGAGGGATATCGAAGTCCAAGAGAGCGGCTCCTCATTCATCCCTCAGCCTTTATTTGTAGTTGCAACACGTAGGCACTACATAGAGGCCGATAGCAAGTTAATAAGTACAACCTGCTGAAATAACTTGTGTGGCTCTGTAACACTTTAAAGGAGTGGTTTCTTTCTCTTCCTTCACAGAGACTTGAAGCTAGACAATGTCCTCTTGGACAATGAGGGGCACATCAAAATTGCTGACTTTGGGATGTGCAAGGAGAACATGTTTGGAGATGCAAAGACAAGTACTTTCTGTGGCACTCCTGACTATATTGCTCCTGAGGTAGGTGTGGGATCCAGGGAGGTCAGTGAGCTGCTATGGGACAGAGACTGTGTCTTAAGACATGACTGTCAGTCAGTGGTGGAGGGTGCAAAATGTAATAACCTGCTTTGAGCATTTCCAGGCTAGAAACTGGATTTCAGTTTGATTCAAAGTCTGCGTTGCTGTCTGGCATTGCACACTGTTGTGGCTAATTCATTTTTTGTGCAAGTGGGCCTGGGAAGCAAGTGGTGCTTGGCTTAACCTAGAAACAGAATGCTTAATGGAAATCCAGTTTGGGGCATGGCAGAGAAAGGTCCAATAGGTACATCCTGCAATTCAGGGACAGAAACAGCACGAGGCGTGGGAAGCATGTTCCCTACCTAGCTAACAGTAGGCTTCCGTGGCTGTACAGGCTCACTGATAGCTGGTAGGGAGCTATGAGCACTTCTAAGGGATGATATTCATCACAACCTAAGAGAAAAAGTAGACAAACATAGGACAAAATTCTCACCTGGAGCTGATTCTCCCTTCTCATTGATTAACCTCCTTCTAAATAGAGAGGAGAAGCTGAGTCCACTCTAAAGCAGAGACTGGGCTTCATCTTCCCTCTGGAATAGGCTCTGATGCTTGAATAGGGATGACACCCATAAGCTTGGACTTCTCTTTTACTCAGGCAGGTTCCAAGCTGGCTGCAAACACAGCCTGCATCACGAGCATCCTCCCAGAGCTGAATAAGGCACTATATGCTCTGAAAAAGCCCTGCCACCGGGAGCATAACCTTAAAACTGAGCACAGGCTTGAAGTTCTGTCTAGATAAAAGCAACCAGTAGCTGCTTGTAAAAGGGATGGAGACGCATAAGCACAAGAGTGGTTGTACATCCTAGTTTTTCCCCTCTAAATGCCAGCAGTCAGAGAAGACATGTTGGTGTCTGGAGGACAGCTGGAACCTGACCTGCTGACTCTGGGCTCTGGACTACCTGCTTCTCTGCTTTGGCTGTGCACGGTGCCAGAGCACCTCATCTCACTGCATGAATCCATCCCTGGAGTGCATGAATCCATCCCTGGAGGACATGCCTCCACAAGTTGCCTCCTGGTGAAGAAGGTTCTAAAGCTGTGATGATGGAGTTGTATCAGGGCCAGGATGTGCTTGAACTAACAAAGGGCAAAGCAGAGCTTATAGACTGTGTTAAGGTCCTGGTCTGTCCCCTTGGCTCAGGAAGGCTGGGCCAGACAGTCTCTAAGTTCCATGCAAAAACATACCAACAGTTCCTCTGCTCGTTCTGCGGTTAATATCTACTGATAATTGGTGGATAAAAGCTGAACCTGTCTTCCATGTGCCCATGAAATAAAACTGAGTGGTCAGAGGCACCAGACTTCAGCTTGCCCATAGTGAAATCCTTTGCCCTTCCCCTTATTTCTTTCCATTTTTCCCCAGACAGATTTTTTTTTTTTCCTAATAAATTTAGATATTTTGGACTAGATCCCTCCAGAAAAGAGAAAGCTCCCTTAACCTGGTGGGTTCACACAATGATAGATTTTACTATGGAGAAGCTTTAACTAATTAGGTAGCAAATTGGAGCCAAATAAAACATTTTTCAGTTCAGGGAAGAACCTACGAATCATCCATGCATCATGTCCGACATAAGTCTGAAATCCATTTATTTGCCTTTCAAGATCCCATTTCTTGATTGCTGAGTGTTTTCATGATGGATATTGGTACTTTCCAAATAGCTTTTAAAGCTTTTGTTTTTTTTTTTTTCTCCTCCACTATAATTCATTGATCTTTTACTGTGCAGCAAGGGCTCAATTCTG